CATGTTGATGTCCTCTTTAACACCTTCCACATTTGAATACGTTTTCCCATTAAGATGGTGTTGCAGCGAACGCAAAAGATGGTAATCTGATGGTGGCATATCTGGAGAATATGGTGGGTGGGGGAGAACTTCCCAACTCAACTCCATAAACTTGTGTTGTGTCAAGCGTGCCACATATGGACGTGCACTGTCAGGGAGAAGAAGAACACCTTTCCGATTGACAAGTAAAGGCCATTTCTGATGAAGGGCTTGATCTCAATGTTCCAGTTGTTGCCTATATATCTCAGCATTGACAGTTCGCTGTGGATTGAGGAGTTCAAAATGAATTACTCCTTTGATGTCCCACCAAAAGCAAAGCATCATTTTCTGCAGATGGAGTTCAGGTTTTGAGGTCAGAAGTAGTTTTTGTCTAGGACTGAGCCATTGTTTTTGGCATTTAATATTTGCATATAGAATCCATTTATCATCACCGATGACAATTCTGTCCAAAAATGGCTCATGCGCATAACAAGCCAGAAGAGACGAAGCAACGTTCACACATTGGAAACGATGATCATCGGATAGTTCGTGAGGCACCCAAACACCTTCTTTATGGAGTTTTCCCACATTCCTTAGATGTTTATGTATTGTTTCATGAGAGACATGCAACTTCAGGGCCATTTCAAGAGTGTGTTACTTTGGGTTAGGCTCGACAAACATCTTCAGAGCATCAATAAATTCCAATATGTCGGTCCCTGCCATCACAGTTTTTAAGGCCAAAGTCACCTGAATGAAATTTGCTGAACCATCGTTGACACTTGCAAATGTTCAAAACATTTCCATAAATTTCTTTGATATTCTTTGTGGTTATAGAGGTGCTGTTTCTCTTCTTGTATTCGAATAACATTACATGCCGAACGTGTGTCTCGTCGTGTGCTATCACTATAAGAGATCAGAGTATACTAAACTTTACACATTATATAGGCTACACTAACATGACATTTAGGTGGTTTGTTTAACTATTATACGTGATGTACGTTTTTTGGGGGTTGGTTAATGAAAGTGTTCCAAAACGCAACATTATTTTCTTGATGACCTAATATTTGGGCTCAATTTCATTGTTTGATATTTTGAAGATTAGCTTGACCAGCTAACAAGAATGTTTTTAACCCATTTATAGCTCAGTAAGAAATCTGGTTAGATTAAAGTAGTTTTCCTACATTCTATTTTTTGTGCATGATAATGATTTATGTTCTAAGTTGCATATTTCAAATAAATGAAAAACATTTTGTTCAACACAAATTTCACTATAAAAAAAATTTGGGTTATGGTTCTTCGGTCTTCCATAGAGTAGAAAACAAGAACCCAGATGTAATTACTAAATTTCTTGTTCTCTAATGTATACCATATTTATTGTAATAAAAGTAAATAAAGTGTAAAAACTGGAAATTTATTACAATAGATAATTTAAATGGAAAAATTTTAAAATAATTTTTTTTTCTGCATGCTACTGTTTGTCATGTAATACAATACCTTGTTTACTATAACTTGCATTAAGCTCTCCCCAGACAACTTAATGTTTTGTTACACTAGTTAGACACAGTTCAAAGAGCAATAAAACAAAAAGTTAATAAAAACAGATGCAAACTGCTACAAGCCTGATAATCTTTAGGATAAATAATTGTAAGTGTTACAATACGCAGTCATTCTAGAAAGAAAACATGGTAATTTAGATTTCATATTTTCCAAATTGTCATTTTACTCTACATCATTTAACCCTATCAGTATGGGTACCCTTTACTGTGCATGACACAAGGTTTTAGTGTCTTACATCCAAAATTTTATTAAACTACTTTTTATTTATGTTATTCCAATTAGAATAGCATAAAATATTAGCTAATAATCTATATTTTAATAGTATACAAGTTTTAAGTTCTTAATTCTAAAAGGAAATATATAAAAAAAATCCTGAATTTCCACTAGTGTAACACACATGACAAATTTTGTCTTAGCATATCATCATCCCTATTTTATCAATCACTCCTCGAAAATGTATGAAATTAAACGTAATATGATCTCTATATAATCATTATTGCTCAAACAGACCATAATTTTTATCGCCTTTATTACAGAGCTATCAAAGAGAAAATCAGACCCCTCCTGCCACACCCACCTGTCACAATTGGTTGATAGTTCTCTCTTATGTTTCATTATATATTATCTATAACCAATATAAAGTTAAGGTTTTCATCTATCAAATGGTATATTGTATAACATTGTGTTCTGAACAGATAACCGTCAATGTCACTCGGAGTAGCAACTTCGTTCCCGTGGGAAAGTTAACGACTAGTTTGGATGAATTTGTAATGGCTCTTGTCTGACAGTTAGAAAGCCAGGAAAATTTTTAGAAGTGAATTTGTCTACTTTTTGTATGTTATTAGTCTATAATCGACAATCTTGACAATCAAGGGTAAGAACAAAGAAGATTGGGTAGGTACTTTATTTCTTGTTTTTCATATTTATTCTTTATTTATTATTATAAAAGTAACTAAAATTAAAAGTACGGATCTTTTTAAGTTATTTAAGACTAGATTAGGTAAAATAAGTAATAATAATAATATAATTAAAATTGTTCATGAATCACACACATGAGCTGCTCGTGTATGTGTTCACGAAGCACACACACGAGCAGCTCATCCATAATGTAATTCAATAGCGTAACGTGAGCTGCATGTTCCCCGAGTGATTTACAACTTATAATTGCATGGATAGTAGTTAAACACAGTTCAAAGGGCAATA